TTGTTAAGCGATCTTGCATGTTGTCGTACAATGGATTCAAACAGGTCCCTTTATGCGCAACTGCGGGTTTAAGTCACATACAGTACCTACAGTTTAACATGATGCTGCTGGACATGATGAAATGCTTTAGGAAACTTAGTTGGCTGACAAACATGCTCAGTGGCTGCAGTCAAACAAAAGTTGAAACAGTTCCAAACAGTCTAAATGGTCAAGTCTACAAGATCTCTTTCAAACTTCATGCCCCTAAGGCTCCGAACAATCTTACATCCATTTACTATTTATAGAGGTGTATCGAAGTCACATTAGGTCTTGGGATGCCGTCGTTTTTTTCCAACTCTTTAATCAACGACTCCTTTCCGTGCCCTTATTTCCAAACAACTACATGGCTCACATTTCTGAGTCCCAACCTACTAGCTATGGCCTCCAACCTACTAGCAAAAGGATAATAGGATGGCCTCCACCCTAGTAGCGATGGCCTCCAACTGGAAGCTTTTTCGGACAACTCCATCTGTTTACTTTCTGAGTCCCCTGCAAACAACGACCAAATCGCCGGGCACGCAAGAGGACACCAACTCTCCACACAGCACAACTTGGGCATGAGAGCCTCGGAATCAGAGTATGCTGGGTGATTCGAATATTGCCACGGCAACTCCCAACTTGCGACAACTGGAAGCTTTTGAAACCAACCAAGTATGACAGGCAGATTCTTGGCTCAAAGCACTGACAAGCTAACGTCAGCCTCTGTTTCGAGATCACAGCCGTCAAGTTGCTATCTATCTATCTATCTATCTATCTATATCTATCTACCTATAGTTATACCAGTATGGGCAATTTACGGTGCGAAAAAGATCCGAAGAAATCCCAAGCATTGTCCACTGGACACGTTGCAAGATGGGCAAAAACTGTTCAGCATACATGTGCCATGCGAATGCATGCGAATGCTGAGGTTCAAACAATTCTGAAGACCAGTGTCCTGCAATCGAATCTCCTGGTAGTCAATCATTGCACCTGCCAAGCTCCATTGTCAGAACTTCACAGCAAAAACAGTTTGAAGAATCTCAAAGAACCAACCAAAAGGGATGCTGTGTTCTTTGGCTGCTTGCATTGGCTTGCATGAGTGACCAAGAAAGATTCGAACAAACAGGATGGAGACCATTGCTAGTAGGTTGGAGGCCATCGCTATTAGCCATGTGCAGCACCTCCAAGGTCTTTGAAAGAGTCACCACCGCAACCTGAGGAACTGAAGGCATCCACTGACACTTGGAAAGCCAGCACCAGACAACCATGTTTCTCTATTTTCCTTGATTTCCTTTTTTGGCCGGCCTCCTACTTAATTGGAAGTAAGCTTGTAGCTGCTTAAGCTTCTAGTAACAGGACGCAGGACGGCTCACGCTCGCACTATATTATATAATACTATATAATGATTTGGCTCCTAGGTTTGCGGCTTTGTGTTTTGCGTCCACCATCTACCCCATGTTCTGAGACATCTGCGGTTGAACGTGTTCTTGTCTCTCACTGTTTCAATCGCTTTCTTGCTTCTGCGGAAGTGAAAATGGTCTAAAGAATATGAGTTAGGACGAATTAGAAGCAAACAAAAAGAGTCGAAAGGTTTAAAGAAGAAAGAAAATGAAAAGAACATGGAAACTCATTCTCTGCTTCTGTGTATGCTTGTGTATATACCTGTATAGTCCTCGACAACATTCAGTGATTCCTGGGAACCGCTTGACGGTATAATCAAGTCAACCATTGGGGTTCACGACTTCTTCACGACCCCATCTTTGGCGACACTAGGTTGGAGGCCATCGCTTTTGGAATAAAGGAGACAAGAAAAGAAAGAAAGGTCTAGAGTCTAATCTAGTTTGCTATTGGGTCGGAGGCCTACTTAATTGAGTAAGGGAGAAGTACGCTACTAGCGGAAGCTACTACATATGGACGCAGGATAGGTTACGCTTCCTTGAAGAATACTAGTAGTACGGCCAGGAGCCCCTAGTAGCGTCTTTGCTCCTAGGAGCGATGCCAGGAGCCCCTAGTAGCTTGGAGTACAGGTCAGGCCCCTTTTTACTTTATCTGTAATTATCGTGTTTGTCCTTTTTGTTCTCCCTCGGTCTCCTGTTCCTGTCATGTTCTGTTGCGAATGGTGCTAGTGGTCGGTTGAAGGATTCGCCAGCGGCTTGCGGGCTTCTCTCCGTTTGCCGTCCATGACCTGGGCTGGTCCTTTTACTTCCTTTTTTGGATTCTTGGTACCCGGTGCGGCAAACAACAGCCAGTCCCTTCCCCGTCATCTGTGGGAAATGTTAGCTGCAAAAACATCCTCTCAACAAACGCCAAGTCCACTGCATGCAACACTTCTTCAAGTGTGGGGGCGTCTTTTCGAAAACTGTAAGAGGATCATGAAATGAACTATACCTTTCGTATCCTTTCGTTTCATTGAAAGAATGGAGGTCTTCGAAGAAACAGGGGCCTCCGCAGCATCCCGCTTCAGGCGGTCGAACTTCGGCCACCGGAGCTTCCACCACTTTCCTGCAGCAAGGCCAAGGTGTTACTAGTAGCGATGCACTTTGTAAGCTACTAATTTTAGTTCTAATGGCTTCTTGTTACTACTAGCGATGCACTTGTTACTACTAGCGATGCCCTTGCTTTACTAGTAGCGATGCCCTTGCTTTACTAGTAGCTTCTTGCTTGTAGTAGTAAGGCCAGGAGCCCCTAGTAGCGATTAGTAGCGTTCTTGCTCCTAGTAGCGATGCCCTTTGCCAGAAGAAAACCCAAGTAGCAACACTAAGAACCAACTTCTGCAACTTGTGGGCCATCCTCTTGTCCTTCGCCTTTGGCTGTTTTTAAAGATTGCATGTGTGGCGACGCGTTGGTTTGGTTTCTAGTCTAAAAGCCAACAAACACTCCACCCGAAGAAAGGCACGGGGCCAGCGTTCCTAGAGTACCTCCTCGTTTTGAGTCTCACCAGGGCCGTTTTGCCAGCATTTGAGACTTCTGAAAAAGAACGGGATGAACTTCTCGCATGAATGGACGCTACTAGGTGGAGGCCATCGCTATTAGGTCATTAGGTTGGCGGCCATCGCTCCTAGGAGCAAGGACGCTACTAGCCAGCTGAAAGCTGCCAATCCAAGGACTTTGCTTCTCGTGGTCCGTGACCGCAAGACGCAAACTCGCAAGAAGCAAAACGGGAGGGCCACTTCCGTCATCTAGGAACAAGAAGCTACTGGGAGCAATAGGCATCGCTATTAGGAACAAGGACGCTTCTAGGGGCTTGTGTCAGCCATGGAGGTTGAACAGCTGTTCTATTCTCGCAGGCTCTCAGCGCAACAATAAGTAGGTTGGAGGCCATCGCTTCTAGGTTGGAAGCTATCTGGAGCTACAAATGGCCTTATCAATTTTTGTGCAGTGCAGCTTGCAGCAGCGTGTGCCACTGCGGCATGTTGGTCAGTTCAAGCTTTGAGCAACAACCAACACAGGTGGAACAGTGTCTGCACCGAGATCCAGTGGTTTGAGGCAAACTTGCAAATTCAACTCAGTTCTCCTCACGATCTCCGCAGGCCAGATCGTCCATGTCTTCACTGAAGAGTCTTAGTCGTGAGGACCCAACACCACCATCGTCCTAAAGGGTCTGAACGCTTACCAGTACCGATACCAATACCACCACTACTCCTACTCCTGCTCCACTGTGTTTGGCAATTTCTCGGACCGTTGGACCCACTCCTGGCACCACAGCTGCACTCGAAGCTTCGCGTGAACTCGGCAACCTTCACGGAGCTCATGCTGGCCTTGATGCTCCGAGAATCGCCCGACCAATCGCCCGAGACGGTAGAAATCGTCCAGCGAAAAGTGTCAAGAATTTGGATGCCTTTTTAGTGGCCGTTTGTTAAATAGTAACAAGAAGCTAGTAGGAACAAGTGCATCGCTTCTAGTAACAAGTGCCTTACTAGTAGTAACAAGAAGCTGCAAAGGGCATCGTTACTAGTAACAAGAAGCTACTAGTAGTGGTGTGATTGTTTTGTGCTTGCTTTCGGTGTGCCATTCGATCAGATCCGCACTACCAGGCCGGAGAACGTCAAGAAACAACCCACCAAGTCATGACGTAGCTCCTGCAAGACAAACAACTTCATTTTTTGCCGACCTTCTACTTAACTGAGTAGGCGCCTACTTAATTGAGTGACTAGTAAGCTTCTAGGCTAAGCCAAGCTACTACCTACTGGACGCAGGATAGCTCACGCACTAGTTCCTAGATTTTCTGGGTTGGTTGCACTTGTTTGGGTTTGAATGCTTCACAACGGTGACTACTTGCCAAGTGTGCATGTGGACTTGGAAGAATGGCTCAAATGCTCTCTGATGGTTGCATCGTTACAATGAGTACGAGAGGGAGTGTCAGACTGTCAGAAGTGCCTTCATGTGATGCACGGCATGTAGCAAGAAGCTTGGGATGTGTCGGAAACGCAGCCGCGGCCTGGCGCACGTTGCTGGACTCTTCTCTGCAACCGTTTGCAGAGCAAGAGGCAGTTCAGTCCAAGGAAGCGATCGTCTTGTCTTGCGAGTGTTCTCTCGGGAAATAGTGAATGGATGTGAGTAGCAAAGCTTGCTTTTGTGACCTCCATGTCCTTTTGTGCAGTCTAGGAATGTCACTCATGTCTCATTCTTCTCCATGATTTGCTCTATTACAGTTGTCCCTCAGAAGATGTACAAGGACGCTGCTAGGGGCTCCTGGCATCGCTACTAGGAGCAAGGACGCTACTAGGGGCTCCTGGCCTTACTACTAGGAGCAAGAAGCATCAAGAAGCTACCAGTAACAAGGACGCTTTACGCTTGGGCCTGGACCGACCAAGTTGTTGGGCCAAGATGCTCTCGAGGCGGCTGATGTTTGCATCAAAGTCCTGGCGATGAGTCGGCAACCACTGCCGACCACTGGTCTACACAGTTCTTATTGGCGATGGCCTCCAATCTAAGGACGATGGCCTCCAGATGTGCTTTTAATTGTAGCATCCAACACCTTTTTGTGACATCCTGATGCTCCAAAGTCAGTGTGGCTGAAAATCAGAGCGACGACCATTTCTCGCAACTTAGCAAGTGCCTGGCCCAGTGCCTGGCCACTCTTTTGGCCGCACAGGGCAAGCTCTTTTCTGTTCTCAGGCTCTTTCGGGGTTGCACCAGTTCGGCAAAGGAGATGGTCAAGTTGAAAAGTGCCAAGGAATGACACAACCACAGTCACCACAGGTTGAGCCTTCTCCATTACAGCTTTTGGTGACTTCTATGTACAGCTCCGCTAGTGCCTAGAAATTGCTTCGACTCATGGCAGCCTGCAGTTTGCCCTGAAGTTCCAGGAACGTGGCCTGATGGGGAAAATTGCAAGAGTTCCACAACAAAATTCATCTGCAAACACAAAGAAAGAATCCACACTTAGGCCTCCATTGCTAGTACAGAACAGGAGGGAATTTCATCGAGTCCAGTCTTACAAGTAACAAAGGACGCTACTAGTAACAAAGAGCATCGCTACTAGGAGCAAGGAAGCTACTAGTAGCTCCTGGCCGTACTACTAGTAACAAGAAGCTACTAGGAACAAAGGGCATCGCTACTAGTAACAAAGGACATTAGTACAAGAAGTAACAACAGGTGCCTCCAGCTGTACTCTCTCTGTTTCCAAAGTTGCATCTGGCCCTGGAAATCGCGGTGGGCTTTGCGGCATGGAAGTGTAGGGTTTGTAAGGCGTATTGTGAATGTGATCAATCTCAAGCAGAAACCGACCAAGGCCAACAACCTAATAGCAAACTATATTACACCTTCCCTTCGGATTCCCTTCTGTTCTTTTCTTTTCTCTTTGTTTCTAACAGGAGACACCTCCACCCTAGCAATGGCCTCCAACCTAATAGCGATGGCCTCCAACCTAGGAGCGATGGCCTCCAACCCAATAGCAATGGTATCGTATCTCCTCCATGTTTGACTTCCCAATCGCAAAGCTTATGATACAGACCTTTCAACAACCGTCTCCAATTATCCTGAGGAAGTCGATGTGTCTTCTATGCAGCATTCTGTGGTGGCTGTGGTGGCTAAAAGGTACAGGCTATAGGCTATAGGTGAAAAGAACTATCCTCTCTGCCGCCTGTGCAGTGTTTGTACCAGCTCTACATCTCTCCTCAATGACTCAATGCCCAACAAGTTAGAGACCTTCCGCATCTGTCTTTGGTGTCCCCGGCCCTTCCATCAAGCTGCCTTCCGTATCTGTCTCCACCACAGTCAGGTCCGTTTCCTCCGGCAGCGAGGCCTGCGTAGGTTCTAAAGAAAGAAGTAAAAAAATCAATTTGACCTCGGGCATCACTACTAGGAGCAAGGACGCTACTAGGAACAAAGGGCATCGCTACTAGGAGCAAAGACGCTACTAGGAGCTCCTGGCCTTACTACTAGGAGCAAAAAGCTACTAGGAGCAAATACGCTACCCCTCCCTGCCCTTCGTGGTCTTCTCGCCTCGGCCTCTTCCGGTGGATCTTCCTGGAACGTCTGGCCAGAGACCTCCGCATCCAGGCGGCGTTTGTAGAACCGTGCGGCTTTGGAAGCATAGCCTGAGACTGAAGAGAGTGAAGCGAAGCAGCAAAGCAATGCCTCCAACCTAACAGCGATGGCCTCCACCCTAGTGGCGAAGCGATGCTACAATGAAGATGGTCCGGTTGCATTAGATGGCCCCTACGGAGCCCTCTTGAGACAGGTGGAGCCTAGTAGGTCGTAGTAGCACCCAAGGCACTCCTTTGAGCATCATACAAAGAAGGCACTCGTTGTGCTACTGGTGATAGTGAGGGTTAGAGAGGTACCTAAGGATAAGAAAGCACACCGAAATCACGCACAGTCTGTGCCTAGAGGAAGTCTTCGGAGCCTAGAGGAAGTCGTCCTGTGAAGCGTCTCAGACCCGGACGGTTGCGCCCCTTGAGTCGAGGATAGTGGGAGAAGAACTTCAGGAAGCGTTCTGTGCCACCCACTTCCTGAGAGGATCGGCCCACAACCCCAAAACACTTCATAAGGTGCAACAAGATTGAAGATGGGAAATGAAGGCAACGAAGTCTTCCTGCTGAAGGTTTCAACTGCTTCCAGATTCAAAATGAAAGAACTGTCACGAAATGTCATGAACAATTCTCACACGCGCATGCCGCATGCCTGTGTCTGTGTGGGGCAAGGTACCATCGTGCGCAACTGTGTTGGAGTCCAGCGGTCCATGGCCACGGAGCGGACGAAACTCAAGTGAACGCCGAAGCCCCGGTGCTGCCCTGCACACTCCACGCACAAGTAGATCCCGTAAGACACTGAAGCCCACTCGGCGTGCTGTGAGTTGCAATCAGCACACGTGCGATCTTTCTCCGGTATTTTCGAGAAGAAATCTTCTGCGTCCTTAGCTCTCAAAGAACCACTTCATTCCCATGTGAATTTGCTAGTTGAGAATACCAGGGCCCCACAATGACCGCTTGCGTTAATATGCTGGCGCAGGCAACTCATGCGCATCTAGCCAATGAGGGTGCCTCCTCAAAGAGGCAGGTTCAAGATGTAGTTTTTTGTCACTCCCAACAGATACCCTTGCAGTGGTTCTTCACATTGTGGGGGTTACACTTTGCCAGTTGTATGCAGGTTCCGTCTTTTGCCCGGGGAAGAAAACTGCAGTCTCCACGATAAACTTTTGTTTTTCTGGTACCTAACCGAACCGCTTCATCTGAGAATACAATCATTTCACATAGTACGTCGGACACCAAAAAGAAAACTACACCAGCAAATACCGCAGGCAGCAAAGGATATTCGTGGGCAGCACCCGAGCATTTGATTTGCCGGCCACGACACCTACTGCACCATCAACCGAACTTCACAGCACACACTGCCGTGAACATCTGGCAACAACAGCCTGCAGCACCAGCACCAACACCCAAGCCCCGAAGTGCACACGGCCATAGACACCTGGCAGGCACACTGGAGCGGCACCCACCGGCACCAGCGCACCTCCAAAGTGCACACAAATCAAATGATCCTCCAGGGAACCTCCAGGCGCACGTGCGCAAATACTTCAATAGCGCCCGGATAGCCTTCAGAGGGGCGGCTCTGAACTTCTTTGGCCTTCGGGCCATGACTTGGCCGAGGCGCATTCGCTTTGACGAGTTCAACTCCCACCGCCCGGACAAGGTGGCCACACCGCCATTAACTCAGGAAGTGGCTGGACTCAACCATGAGGCTGCCCAGATGCCACTTAAAAACGATCCTGAGGACCTTGACTTGAAAGCGGGCAATGAGAGTTGGCTTGAGCCGCATTTCTCACACCTGGCATCATCAGACTTCCTTGGAGTTGAAGCAGTTCGCTAAGGATACATATGGTCCGGTGCGTTCACGGTGTCTCGGCCCGAAACTTAGAGGGGCCCCTTTTGCGCCACTTGACGTGAGCCACAGGCCACAGCGCTCGAGGAAGGCCCCACTTGGAAAAGATGTTCAGCGCACCTTCGTTCGTACTTCGTGTTTGTGTCCTCCGGTTACCACCACCTTTGGTTTGAGCTCCAACACGCTATTCCACCGCAGCAGCGCCCGCTGCAGATTGCCGCCCAAAAATTTGTTGATGCTGTACTTGGCGCAATTTGTCCAATCTTCGCTGCCCAAAAAAATTCACAGCAATTTGCACAAGTGTTCCTTCCAACCTTTGTTGCAGCAATTTTAAAGTAGTTGGCCAACCTTTGTCAAGGCTGAAATCAAAACCAAGAAATCGATTCGTTGACCGCCATCCCCCGTTGGGACGTGTTCGACCCCGCTCCGCGCGTTGTTTTTGCGATCTGGCGACTCAGTGCGCTTGATGCGCCCTGCTCTTGCTTTGCTTTCCACCACGAGTGTTCAAAACCTTGTGCTTGGGAGCTCAAAAAATTCCCAAGCGCAAGCGCCCTGCTTGCAAACGTCTTTCGGCCCAGGTCTTCATGGCAGGTGGTACAGGAACCCAGGATTGCAGGACAGACCAACCACATCGGCGGCGCCCAGCTGCACGCTGCACCACCCAACATGGCCAAACCTGAAGCGCACGCGGCCGACATCTTGTAGCAGCACCCTGGCGTGCATATCCGGCGACACCCAGGCCCCACAGCGCACACGGGCACCTCTTCTTATACTTGAAGCAAGAACCCCAAAGCTCTTGCTATTTGGGGACAAGGAAAAGGTCTTGAGAAAGTGGTGCCAGCATAGAACAGTTTCAGCATTCTTTTGGGTGCATAAATATTTGTGGTAACGTCTGGAATTATATTCCTATAGCCTCTGGCTGTTTGGGAACGGCATGTACTGTAAATAAAAAATGAAAACTGCATGTACAAGAAAGTGTTTGAAAACAACACTTACAGTGATAATAATTCCTGAATCCCCCGCGTCACGTACGCATGAGAAAATCCGAGGATGGTATCAAAACTTTAAAACACTGCATCACTGCTGCGTTCATACCCGGGCAAGGTGGTGGAGAAAGGGAAAGCACGGCGGTGATAAAAGGGTATTCAACAACCTGGACAAGCAGGCAAGCAGACCCAGACAAAGCCGGGACAAGGACAACGTACACTCCCACAGCAACGAGGGCTGGACAAGCCCCGGAAAGCCTACGGCCTGGGCAATAAGCCAGCCCGCAAGAAAACAAAGAAGGACAGATCAGGAGCATGGACGCACAGATCCGGACATGCCCAGACAAGGCCTGGCATAGAACGACGCAGCCTCGGAGAAGGGAGGGGCCAACAGCGCCGTTTTTCCCCTAAGAAAGAACCCCAACAGTAAACAGTAAACAGTTTGGGTAAAAAAAGACAGCAAAAATATAAGGTCTAAAGGAAGCAAGAAAAACAGGTCTGAAGGAAAACATGGTCTCCAAAAGAGAGAAAGAAGTTGAAGCAAAAGCAAATCTAAAGGAACAAGTGAAATACAGATACAAATGCTGTACATAGTGGGGTGTCACCCGGGTGTCCAACTAAATTCCCATAGCATCCTGCAGACTATATAATCTGCAGATGGTGCAGCTAAGCATCAACAGTACTCACCGCAGGCTCTGCGGCCTCTGCGCTAACATCCTGCCAAATCTCCCACACGTTTAATTGCGTCCTAGTAGCGTCCTTTCTCCTACTAGCGATGCCAGGAGCCCCCAGTAGCTTCTTGTTCCTAGTAGTAAGGCCAGGAGCCCCTAGTAGCGTCCTTGCTCTTAATTGCGTCAAATATGTCCAAACATATGTGCGAACTCAACATCATTCCATCCCTTCCAAAAAAGAGTGTGCAAATGTGTGTTCGATCTCGAATAAAATCTAAATTGAACTGTGCTTCTTTGCGCATGGGCTGAGCCTTCTTCTCGTGACCCACCAAAGCATCCACACGCTGCAATAAGGCTTGGGCAGCACGCCAGGCCTGCAATCATAACAAGTTCTCTACCATAGCAATCATAAAAACGCTCACATTTGGCAACAAACAAAGAAATGAACCTACTTGGCATTCCACAATTGAAACTGTAGAAAACAAAAATTTTGCATATGGTTGACGTATTTGGAAAAGCAAGCTGGCAACTCTCAGGAAGCAGCCTCTTGTGATGTCACCGTGAGATCCGGCAAAGCTGAGCCTTCCGTTCAAAGACTTTAGGTTCATGTGTGTTTCTTAAGAGGATCTGTTTTTTTGAGCATGTCAAAATCGTGTCCAACGCTCAACCGCCCAGGTGAAACTGCATTTCGATTTGCGGAGTCAAATTGCATGCGATTCCAAAACTAATAGCAAACAATAATATCAGACCGTTCTTTCTCCTGTTCTTTTTGTTTCTAATAGCGATGCCCTCCAACAACTGCGTGTGATTCACAGCTTCAACATTCCTGGTGCACCTTCCTCCACTTGTGCGCAGTCGGCAATCGCACTGAGACGCAGGCGCTCCTAGAGTGAACTACCAATCATGAACTCACGAAGCCCTCAGAGCAGTTGAAAAAATGTCAGAAAACAAGGATGTCTACAGCGAAAAGAAGCGGCTCAAAGAGCACAAAGGAAGGGGGGGGGTCGGAAGCTACTAGGAACAAGTGCATCGCTTCTAGTAACAAGTGCCTTACTAGTAGTAACAAGAAGCTATTGTTGGGTCCTTGCACGAAGCCACAACTCTTTCCAAAAGACGAAACCGCTCCGTTCGTAGCGATGCCGTTCCGTTCGTAGCGAACATTGTTCCTAGTAAGGCCAGGAGCCCCGTTCGTAGCGTCCGATCGCTAGTAGCGAAATACCGCAACTCAGAAACCGGATCTGGTCTTTCGAAAACGTTGAGTCCGACGCTTGGCGGAAGGCGGAAGGCATAGCAGGGCATTTCAATATCGTTTGATCGGGTGTTGACCCGCGTGCTTGTTGGTTGTGAAGGCTGCCACTCTAAGGCCACGAATCTGTTTCTGCTTTTTCCTTGAAGAACTTCTTGAATGTGCTTCAAGTTTTGGGGAAGACTTGAGCTTCTTGAGCTTCAGATCTGTCTTTTTGGCGTCTTTTTTTCTTCCAATCCCACAGCGGAGCGGTTGTGTTGTCCTGGTGCAAGTAGGTGGACATCTGTCGCCCCAGCTGCACTTGGCGCCGCCGCTGCTGGGCCAGAAGATCTGGCCGGCGACGTGCCTGAGACTTGGAAGAGGCACTTGGGGAGACAAAAAACAAATGGTTTCTACTAGGAGCGATCGGACGCTACTAGGGGCTCCTGGCCTTACTACTAGGAACAAGAAGCTACTAGGGGCTCCTGGCATCGCTACTAGTAGCAAGGACGCTACTAGGTAGTACTACTAGGTAGGTATTTCTATTGTTTTAAAGGGGGGGCTGAGTAGAGGTAGGTAGTAGCTAGCTAGAGTACCTACAAGTAAGCTTCTGCCGACAGGACGCAGGATAGCTCACCCTTCTATTCATTTGGTTCCTAGATTTTAAGGCGGGAAACCTATATAACTTGCAGTCATTCCAAGCATTCTTACACTCTTGTGTCACATAACGACAAGTATCGACAAGCACTTGAAGTGGAACTCATTTGTGAACTTGAATATAATCAGGCTGAGAAACTTTGAGCAAGAAGAGCATGAGTCACTAAATGTCACTCATCCTTGACAACCTAAGAGCGATGGCCTCCAATCTACTGCTGATGGAGGCCACAACAAAGTATCGACATTCATTCGTCCTGAAATGACCAATTCTGCCTCGGCAGCTTTCGCCAGGCTCAGTGCTGCTTCAGCTGTGCCACGGAAAGCACCTGCCTGTGTCATGGAAGGTTTTGTTCAAAAAGGATCGCGCGAGAAATGATGATCCTGGATGGGAGGCGATCAAGTCTAGCCGCTAGTCTAGCCGCTGGTCCATGCCAAATGCCACATGCTCCCTTTGCAGCTTGCAGCACTTCTGTATGAGGCATGTATTGCCATTGCTCAAACAAAAACAAGGCAAGAACGCTTTCCAAATGGATTTGACCCGCCATGGCGTCACCATGAAAGTCAATTCAACATCAATTGCAGCCACAACTCATGTTCCTACTAGCCGATGAGACTAAGCAACCCCACACAAGACTCTGTAAAAGGTCGCCCCACCCCATGCGCACACGAATTCGATGAACTGCATCAGAACTAAACTAGCACTAAACAAGCAACGCTAAAGGCAGTGCAAAATCGTATTAGGATCGAGGCCACCGCTTTTAGGTTGGAGGCCATTGCTAGTAAAACACAATCCTTCTCCGAAACTCGGCGTGCTAAACTTGGCAGTCACAGTGTGAACCAACGAATAGAATAGAATTGTTTTCTCTTCAAGCGATTAAGCCTTTGTTTGGACAGACCAACCCTTAGGATGAAAGGCATAGTGGCCAAGGCCTACTCCCTCCAACTCAACATGAATGGAAAAGTAAGCCCATGGCCGCCATGGCCCATGGAAGACCGAAGTTCTTGACTCATTCACTGAGACATCACAAAAAGGGATCGCCTTGGATTTTCGCTCGCAAAGCTTCATCGCGACATTGGAGCTGCCGCCCAAGAGGCCATCGTAGTGACTGCCCAAGAGTGCGGATGGCAATCGGACTTGAAGGGTGGAAACTCTCTTGTCAAACACCATTCAGAGCTCTTTTTTTAGCCCGTGGCCCTGCCTCCTTACTGAATTAAGCAGGCACCTACTTAATTAAGTAAGGGCGACACTTAAGCTTCCAGTCACTTGACGCAGGATAGTGCATGCTTCCTTGAAGAAGCCCTAGCACTGATTTTGTTCCTAGATTCTTAGGGAAACTTGCATCGTGCGCTGCTCTACCGACGTGAGGCTTTCTTGGTGAACAACATATGCTGCCTCGTATTTTGGCTGAACTGTGCTTGAAGCTGCTGCACCTGTCCATTGCATCTTCGCACCTGAAAGGATTGAGTGCACTGCAAAAAGAACGGAGTTCAATGCAACAATGTCAGACTTCGCAACTTATACCCTTCTTTCTTGCAGTTTGGTTTGCGGGCGCCGAAAGGCCAGGTTTCGACATAACACCCTAGGTTTCAATCCTACTTGTTCTCCAAATCAAAGCGGAATCTCACGCGGATCCCACAGCTGCTGTATCACTTCGTGACGGCACCTCTGTGTCGAGCTGGGTTATCTCTGCATTCAGCTCCTCTGAATCTCTGAAGGACGAAAATCACAAGGAGCACTTTACAAGAATCATCCAATTACTAAGACTTGAAACCTGGACTTTCTGGCTTACCATAATCGGACAAAATCTGAAAAGCTCCCAACACATCAAGTGTCCGGAAGCCCAAACCTCGAAGCGCTTCTGCAGCTTGGCACGTTCATCTTGCAGTTTGCCACGGCGCTCGACAAAGGCCTCCTGAAAAACAAACAAAACAGATCGAGAAAATCTCACACTGCTGTTGTCAGTATGTAATGGGACTTTTACATGGATCCTTTAGCCCCCTGGAATTAGCCCTCAACCTCGCTCCTGCATTTTTTTAGAGGAGCCATCGCTATTGGGTTGGAGGCCATCGCTGTATTTGTTTCTCCTGCGTGAGCATCACCGCGGCCATTTGTCGTTGCAACTCGCCACTGCAGTCGCTCAAGGCTTGGCCCAAAGACTTCTGCTCAGCCTCTGAGCCTTCTAAGCCACCTCAGCTCCAAAATCTCCAGATGTTTGCGTTTGGGTCGGTCATGGGCGGGTTTGGAATGATTGAAGTAGACAAAAGGCAATGACCTCCAAAAAAAAATCAATTACTATAAATTTCAAAGAATAACATCCTGCTTAAATGTTATTGTGGTTTGCAACCTTTCTTTGTTCCTTTCTTCCAGGATGGATAGCTCACGCTCGCACTATTCATGTGGTGTGTGAGTGTGTCAAAAAGTATCTACATATATCTACCTATACTCGAGCATTCCAAAAAAGATGCTGTCTTTGTCCTCTCTCTTTCGGTTTATTCCATTCTTGCCAACTGCAGCTGCATGGCTGTCCAAGGACTCCAAAGCCAACCCCGCATCAGAAATGAGCTGCTGAATCTCCTTGGCATCAAACATCTAAAACCCAAAAAGGTTGCCCTCAAAAGCACAAAAAAGAACCACGAACTCTAAGGCTGTGTCTTTGGATCCAGCATTGTTCTGCTCATCCACTACCCTGAAATCCGAAAGTTCAGAGTGGAAACATCTGTCAGTAGCGGATTGAAGGTCCAACAAATCACTTTGCCAATCCAGTTTTTGTTGATCGAGTGATGGACGAATTCTCCAGACTCTGCACAACACAGAGTTGTTCTAGACTCTTCCAATTGGAAATGGGACTAGGCGAATAATTCAAGAACTGCAAAATTGGTAGAGCAAGTAAGTCAGGAAGTCCTGTGCCCTTCAAAGAGTGTCCAGTGTCCTGTGTCCATCTATCTCTTTGAAAGGTGTCCAACTTGCGCTAGTAGGTTCGAGGCCATTCCTACTAGGCTGGAGGCCAGTCCTGCTAGCTTGGAGGCCATCGCTGTCTTTTTTAGATTCTTTCTGTCTTGTCCGAACTCCCGCCTCAAAGCTTCAAGGATTTGGCACAGGAGCTCGGTGCGGCGCCGCAAACGGTTGGCCTCCAGGGTGAGCTGTGGCAGCCGCCTGAGACCGACGAAAGGAATTGAAAGAAACAGACCACTTTGTCTTCTTCTTTAGCCCGCTCCCCCCCTCCTACCTACTGCTTAAAACGCTTTTGCAAAAATAGCGAAGAACAGCTTTGGGATAGAATCTCACCCGTAGAAGCGGACGAATAATATTATTGATCTGGTAATGTTGGAAATGTGAAGCAATTGATGGCCTGTTTCCGTACTCACAGCAATTCACGAATGCTGATGCGACAATCTTCACAGCTTAGAAAACATCCGATTGGCACGCTTCTAGGTTGGAGGCCATCGCGTGTAGGTTGGAGGCCATCGGTATTAGGATGGAGGCCATCGCTTGTAG